AGAAAACAACAGCCCACACTCTGATCAGCTGAGACTATGGACTATGCTGCAAGCTTTTACTATAGCAAATGCTCTGATACAATAAGATGACCGATTTGTGTGTCAGTATAGCAAGTTATAGCTTAAGCTATAAAGAGTTATGAAGTGTTTTGCTGATATGGCCTCCCCATCTAACATGTTGCAGTTCAGCTCATGTGTGTGTTCCTGTTTAGACATCTTTCTGAGGACCAAAACTGGCATTCTACTGTACTTGTGAGGACCAACAGTCATTTGTGAGGACCTCACGAGTTTGAAGGCTTTTTTGAGGCTCAAAATGTGGTTTTAGTGTCAGGTTTACAATTAGGTTATGGTTATGGTTAGGTTTAGGGTAAGGGTTAGGATTAGGTATTCATTTTTGATGGTTAGGGTTGGGGCAGGACAAGTTCCTGCCCCAAGTGGAGGAGTTTAAGTATCTCGGGTCTTGTTCACGAGTCATGGGAGAAGGGAGCCGGAGATCGACAGATGGATTGGTGCTGTGGCTGCAGTGATGTGGACGCTGTACCAGTCTGTCGTGGTGAAGAGAGAGCTGAGCGTAAAAGTGAAGCTCTCAATTTACTGGTCAATCTACTTCCCTACCCTCACCTATGTCCCACGAGCTGTGGGTAGTGACCGAAAGAAGAGATTGCGGATACAAGCAGCGGAAATGAGCTTCCTCCGAAGGGTGGCTGGCCTCTCCCTTAGAGATAGGGTGAGAAGTTCAGCCATCTGGGAGGGGCTCAGAGTAGAGCCGCTGCTCCTCCACATCGAAAGGAGCCAGTTCAGGTGGTTCAGGCATCTGACAAGGTATGTCCCACCAGGAGGAGGCCCCGGGGCAGACACAGGACAGGCTGGAGAGATTATATCTCTCGGCTGGACTGGAGGTTTTCAGAAGAATTTCACTCGCATGTACTGAACCAGTGTACCTGCACATGTGATGTGACAATAAAAGTGATTTGATTTGATTTGAGGTGCTAGAGAGGTAGGTCTGGGCTTCTCTGCTCAGGCTGCTGCCCCCGCGACCCATCCTGGGATAAGCGGGGAAAAAATGGATGGATGGATGGTTCGGGTTAGAGATGTCGTTCAGCCATCACTAAGATAGCTGAACCACCGTGTGTGTGTGTGTGGTTCTTTAGAGAAATGTGCCAACTGAGTGCTGCTGTTTATGTAATATGAAACTAGTTAAGAGCAAAACAGTGTAGTTCAATTTAGCAATGACAACTTGTTAAATGCATTTGTGTTGCCTTACATCCTGCCATATGTGCCAAGGTGTTTCTGTAAGAGCCTGTGAAAAATAATCCCTGTTAGGCAAATTGATTGCTTGTTTAAAAATCACATTAAGGTTTGTAGTTGACAGCTTAGGTCATAAAATGAATGATTTGTAACAAAGTTTAGCTTTGGGGGTTTTTTTTGGTTAGGTTTCAACATCATTCTTTTTTCTGTTATAAATTGTGACTTTGTCACAAAAACGACATGGGTGGAATAAGTAATAACACAGCAGTGATTCTCTGCTAAAACATATCCGAGTGAACAAAACTGCGAGTTAGCGGGTGGGTAATGTATCACAGATCCACACAAAGTCTAATCAGAATCTCAGCTGGAGGTGTAGCCACACTCCCGCCCTGTGAAACGACTATGTCCTCTGGCTCATCATAAGCGAGGTTAGGAGATCAAAAAGGAAGTCATTTTTGGCTCCTGTGTGGCAACGCTGTGGATGTAATTAGCTTTGTACTAATAACATACACTTAACACATCCCCCCCGACAGGTGTGAAACACTGCACTTCCTAATCAGATACCTGCACTGTAATCAGGAGACAATCTTAATGACCTGTCTTAAATGCCAAATGCTCACCTCTGTTTCCCATCTCATCACACTGCTTCTCCCCAAAAGTCAATGAAACAAATTAAATTCTTTTCCGGTAATGACTACCTTTTTGCATGGAGTCATGCGAAGCTCTGCATTTTTCAATTAAACTCGCCATTGTTTATAATAGAAAAAGATCTAATAAAGATCTTGATAAAGTGTGTTTGTAGGGGGTTGGAATAGTTTCCATTTGTGACATTTTGGTCTGTTTGACATGTAGACAACGCTCTATAGGCAACCTGTCTCTTCTCTGAAACTCAAGACTGGTTCAAGGAATTATTGATGGACTTCGTGAATAATTCATGGGCATTGATAAAGTCTCGTATTTCATTTGGATGGCCTGTGGCCAGTGACTGTCAAAGGTAGAGTTAGTTTTTGACAGGCTTTTGTACTTGTCCTGAGGTTTCTATTCAGTCTTTTTTTCGGACTGGAAGACCCTATAGTCTGTGTCACAAAAGAAAATATTTCTAATACTTTTTTTTTTCTTAAAAAATTGAGTGATGCAGTACCTCAGCACTGTTTCCTCACAGCAAGAAGGCCCAAGGTTTGAATCTGCTTGCCAGCTGAGGCCTCACTATGTAGAATTTGCGTGTTCTCCATGTGCATAGAGTTCTCTACGGGCACTTTGGCTTTGTTCTGCGGTCCAAAGTTCTGCATGTTAGGTCAACTGGTGATTCAGGGTCAGGGTTTTTCTGCCTGTTGTCCTGTCTGAATATTATGTATAATGAGTTTAATACTACTTTTACACGTTTTTATAGTATAGTATACTACTATATACACTATACACTGTATTAGGTACATCTTGCTAATGCAGGGTTTGACCATAAAAAAGTTTTGGAAACATTCCTCAAAGATTTTTGTCCATGTTGACATGAGAGCATCACACAGTTGATGCAGATTAGCCGGATATACATCTATGATGATATTCTCTGATTCTATCGCATCCCAAATGTGCTCTGTTGGCTGAGATCTGGTAACTGTGGAGTCCATTTGAGTACAGTGAACATTGTTATGTTCAAGATACCAGTTTGAGGCATAGCCAGTGCCCTCACGCTGAACCCAAGAATGAATGGTCAGAGTTGCATCTGGTATAAAATCTTTGCCAAATTAAACGTGTGGATCATCAAGAATGAGATTTCCATACTAGTTAGCAACGAGCGCCTCCGGTGCAGTTGGCCAGCAGGGTACCGGTGGAAATTGTCCTGCTGTTGGCTGAAGACGAAGGAAGAGGAGATGGGAAAGGCAGGTGAGAGTAGGGACTTTAAATGTCAGGACCGTAGCACAGGACGAGGGCTGGCTGATATGATATAGAGAAAGGAGTTTTCAGGAGACCAGGTAGATGGGAAGCAAGGCCAGGGGTGTTTGAGGTGGATTCAGACTGTTCCACCATGGTGTGGACAGGAAGCGAAATGGAATAGGAGTAATCTTGAAGGAAGAGTGTGTGGATAGTTTTGTGGAAGTGAAGAGAGTTTCAGACCAGGGTGGACAGGATTAGAAATAGTGTATCAGCTCAGGTTGAGCAGTTTGGAGACAAAGTTAGAGAAGCAAGGCTGATGGTTTGGACATGTGCAGAGGAGGGATAGTGAAATTGGAAAAAGGATGCTGAATATCAAGCTGTCAGGTCGGAGGAAGACCTCAACTGCGAACTTTTGAGGCTGAAACTTGAGGGGGAGAAAAATGTGTGTTTAAGACCGTTAAAAATGAAAGTGCAAAACGTACGATTAGAACACGCAAACATCATGTTGGATTTATTAAGTCACAATTTCAGTTGTTTCACAGAACAATTTTTCTTTTTGTTTGAATGCTATATTTGCAGCTCCTCTTTAATAAAGCACCCCAACAGTTTTTCACTTGTTGAGACTTATCGTGCTGTGTGGAAAAGAAATCCCATGTGTCCTTTATGGTTCTAATTGCACATCAGGTTCACCACAGAGGTTACAGCTCTCTGTGTTGTTACAAGTATTAAATTATACGGCTGTCTAAATGAGAAGCCCTTAAATGTCGAAGGCCTATCAGGCTTTTTGACATCTATTGTTAAAGCTGTAAGACATGCGTGTGCCGCAGTTCTAACGAGGGCCAATGGGCTTGTGTTTCTCTTTTGATTGCGTATTTATTTTTAGCAATACTTTAGCTGCCCTGTTATTTAAACATCCAGCACAGCTCAAGAACATTAACTGCCATTTTCGCTGATTTTATTTAGCCTTCAGAGCCTCTGTGGGGGGTTTTTTAATGTTCTTTTCTTTTCTTACGACCCTTCTTTTCATTCACTTTCACCTTTTCTCTTGCCAGGCATGGAACACGGTGTGCAGGAGAAGTTGCAGGTGCAGCAAACAATGGTGTATGTGGCGTGGGTGTGGCCTATAATGCTAAAATTGGAGGTGAGTTAAGCACACGATTGATATGTTTAATTTGGCAGAAGGTTTAATCAGTATTATACTCATTTAAATGAGTTTATGATAATTTCACTTAGAACTGATACAGAACAAAATACGCATTCACCATTAATAACTTGGAAGTTAATGTCTTTCTTCTAAGATCTCTGGGACTTTGGGGTTTGTGTCAGAATGACAATTTCGCAGCAGCTCAGGCTTCGCATTATATTAATGATCCAGTGATAGATTTTAAAGCTAATATCCATAATGTTTTTTTCTGGACCGCTGACTCTCATTTACTGACTGACTGACTCTGTATTGTTCAGATGTACAAGTGAGAGTGTGCTGCAGAGATAGGCAGTATTATGCAGTGAATGGTTCTTTATCCAAAGCCTGTGAGATGAATTGCTTTTGATCATTTGCTGCAGTGTTTCTTGCCTGGAAATAAGTAGATCATGACTTAATTAAAACTCCTATGCTCCGGTAAAACAAATAAAATGGTCACTGTAATGATTTCATCCCTGCATTTAAAGCGGTTAGGTTCATGTTCAATGTTTATGAAAGGCTCAATCTCATTTTCTTAATTCGTGTCAATGCCTTCATTGTGCTGCCCTCCACCTTTATTTGGCTCTCCACATATAATGTAATATTTTTTTTAATTTATTTATTTATTTTAATCAAGTTGGATTTCCAAAGTTAGTTAAACTGTTGATACATATTCATATGTTTATATGAAAGTTAGTCAAAATTAGACTCTTTGGGGAGAATCTTTTCCAATCAGTAATTAAGCTGTCAGCCTGTGCAGATATACGTACAGAAAGATGCTGTATGTAGAGCAGTTCATTCAAATTAAATCTGCGAAAACAAATCAAGTCTGGAAGGATTATTTTTCCTCCTGAATATTTTTTGTGTTTGATAAATTATTCCAAGAAGGCCTTTAGTAACTTTTGTCATCAAACAATCTGTCAATGCCATGATGGCAGCCAACAAGACTCAGCGGAGCCGGTGGAGCCCTGAGCAGCCTGTTCACAGATGTTACTCATAACTCTCCTTCTTTGTCTTCATTACCATTCATCTCCCGACAGAGCCGCACATTGGCCCCGCTCTCATAAATTATTCCTCTGTGAATCTGTTCACGTCACGGCATCAGTGGATTGCTTATAAACAGCTGTGATTCGCTCCCAAGCACTCAAGTTGTGTGTGTTTTTTGTGTGGGTGGGTATGCGTGTGTGAGCAGAAGCAGTCGTGTTTGCGCTAAAGCTAAAATATGTTTGTCCTTACAGAGTAATAATTAGCGATTAGTACTTAAAACCTGTAATTGACCCTACTTAGCTCACTCTGTGTTTCCTCTCCATCTACTGTACTTGGTTTCCTTGTGCCTGCACACACACTCATAGCTGCACCGGTAGCTGCTACCTGTGACTTGATAAAGCTGCAGGGAATTCACGCAAGTGTCTTACTCCGGAATCATCAAGCCGCAGGAAGCTGATGAGAATTGTTACGACAGTAATTACCTTTACTGCTGCGGTGCAGCCCTCGCGTAACGATCACAGAGCAAACAATGTGCTTTATGTTGCGTGTTTAGCGCAGTTACGTTTGCTTCGGGCTGCTTAGTATTCAAAGACGTGTTGCACTGAATGCCTGCGCCAACTCTGTAATTACAGCCTTGGTCACATCCCCACTGGTGTATGTTTGTTCCTACGGGGTTAGGCAGGTTCGTTAGAACGAATTATTGAAGTCTTAATGCGGGGACGTTGTCAGTCTTAGTGTATCCTCTGAGGTCCGGGGGTCCTCTAACAGTAATGGACCTTATTTGAGGGTGGGTTATTTCACGCTTCTCTACAGCTATTAATGTTCAGAGGAATGATCTGAGGCTGCTCACATCAAAGACTCAGACAGGTTTGCGTTCAGGTATGATGAAAGGTGACATGCGGCGCTACCCTGTGGACACAGCAGACTGCTCAAGGCTCTGTAAACTCTCAGCTCATTTTTACCTGTGCGTGTGTGGCTTTCTCTCATCTGCAGACTCTTGGATTCTTCTGCTTGTCCTCTCTATAGGTTTTGGTGGGGTCAGGAAGGTTGGTTTAACAACCCCCTGGGATTTTGTTTACATGATGCTTAAATAGTGTAGTATCCACCAGAGCAGCATCTGTGGGTGAGCTTTGTGTGCTTACTCATTAAAACTGAGACTCTGTGAAGTCTTGGTTTTCTCGTGAAGAGCTTGGTTTTTCCGCTTTTCAGTTTTGTTGTGTTTTTCTTTTTCCAGCTGGAGAGAAAAAAAGAAAAGAAAGAAAGTTTACGTTCTAACTGATTCGCTTGACTTTTTTTCTTCTTTTTCTTTTTATCAACTTACGCCTGTTTTGTCTCTAAGGTATCTCACAACTCCCTCTGCCGTCTGTCACGCTGTCACTATTTCTTCATAACTTTCTCTTCGGTAACCTTATCTAAACCCTCCATTGTGTTTTGTTTTTTAATAGGAGTTCGTATGTTGGATGGGGAGGTGACAGATGTAGTGGAGGCTCAGTCTCTTAGCCTGAACCCTCAGCACATCCACATTTACAGTGCCAGCTGGGGCCCGGAAGATGACGGCAAGTCTCTGGATGGCCCTGCCAAGCTGGCTAAGGAGGCTTTCCTCCAGGGAATCACCAAGGTCAGTCAGAGCACAAACATGGTCTTTTAATTTACTAATGTCTTGCATTTCCTATTTATAGTATCACTATCAAAGTCACATCACCTCTTTAGTGTAATAAATCAACATTGTGGGAGACTCATATTTACTTGGTTTATGATGAGACGCCATCAAGCTTAGCTCAGCTTAGCTTACAAGCTGTGATCAAAGGGCTTCACAATTACACACAAAATTAAAAAAACAGAAATCATCGTTCATTTAAATTTAGCTGTAGATTGCTTCCTGTGCAGAAGCAGTTTTAACCACATACCCGTGCATCTGAATGTCCTCTACGGCGTTTGCTGAGGCTCTCTTTAATTTGACTTTTATTTTGGGAATGAGGACAAAGTCACAAGGAGCCAGTAAAGTAAAGTAATGTAGGTGGTCTGCAAAGACTTTGTTGCTGAGGCCCAAAAAAAACTCCCTTTCAATGCACTTTGTGTCAGTGCGTGACGGCCCCCAGTATACTTCAGTTTGTTTCCGCTGAATGTTCTACCTCAGATGTTACAGTGAAACTTTCATTGACAGTCTGACCCCGGGGGACACATTCACGGCGCGTAACCCTGTGAATGTCAGAAAAACGATGACCACGCTCCTGGTTGAGCTTCTTACCTGATGCACCGCCTTCAGGCTTGGACACAGCAGACGCTTTCACTAAAACCAGCTTTTTGATCTGTGGGTAATAGCCGGAGACTCGGCTCTCATCGCAGCTGATGATGAATCTCAACATGAAAGCCGGGTCAGATTGACACAAAAGGTGGTCTTTTTTTATTTGCCAAAGTTTGAGACCCAAGGTGAAATTGGTCTGAAAAAGACTTCCTAGGAGTTATTTAAAAATGCCAGCTGTGTCCGAAGCAGTCCAGAGGTGCACAAGAAGACGATCTTAAGCGAGAGAGAATGTTTTTGGCTCAAAAGGTTCAGTGCAAACATTCAGAGTGGTTGATTTTTACATGAAACTGTTTTTATTGCATCACTGCTTGTTCTGTGTGCCTTTGCTTTCCACAGTGATAAATTACTGAAATGCAGAAACCTCCAGATGCAAAAGTGTTGGAGATGGTTTTGGGCTCATGTTAGGCCAACAGAAACACAAAACAACAGGGACACACACTTTAACACAAAGACCAGCTGCATTCTCTGATAGTTGTCTTGTAGCTGGTCCCAAAAATGTTAATCAGTGAGTTTCAGAGGAGCAGTAGGTGGATTTTGTTGCTTTTATATAAAACTAGACTGCTTGTTGAAGCTCTTGGCTCACTTTGCAAAGAAGGTTATAAGTCAATCCAATCCGATATATTTTTTATTTTATAGCAGTTATAGAAGTTAAAGGACTCTTCTTTTTCTCTTCATGTCAGGTAGGTTTTACCTTTTTCCCTTAATAAATTAAATCATCACTTAAAACTTTTGTTTAAAAAATTGTTTCAGTGCTGTGAAACGTGCAACTGTGAAAAATATTTTTTGAAAACTAAAAAAATCAAGAAGTGCACAAAGACTTTTTCACAGCAGTGGTCCTTTCAGGCGTAAATCACCAAAAAGTAATCAAGCGAAGCCTCGTGATTCCCAAGCAGCTGGTGATGGTAGGGAGAAAAAAGTTTCTCTTTTCCAGGAAGAACACTTTAATAGAACAAGTCAGAAAAGTTCTGGACAATTTTCCACCTGTACAGTCAGAGCATATTACTTTTTAATTGATGATGGCTTCCCAAGACGGAGGAGAAGGACAAACTCAAGGTTAGTTTGCAAAATTGCCCTCTGCTTAGTCATTCAAGCTTGAATAGAATAAAAGATTAAACAGTTTGGACTATTATCTAAGTCTAATACCACCATTTTTCATGTGTCAGTATGTGGCATCAAAAGACGTTATGAGAATAGGCTAATGATAAATGTGAGATGGGAGAAAACTGAAAGAGAGGAGCAGTCACTGATGCGGAACAACAGTTACATTAAAACTCTGCTCTAATTGGCATATAAATTAATGAAAATTTTCAGTGAAACCGGATGGCTCATTCATAGAATCCCATAATGCAAAATGCTCCTGATATCATGGTGTGTTAGCGAGGAAAAAGTGCCTCACAGCAACAAAGCAGGAGCTGACTGGTTCAGTGTGTGTTCTCCTGGCAGCGAGATAACCCTTGGCACTGGACTGTTATCGTCTGGCTTCTGTAACCTGCAACCAGGACAGCGTCAGGCCATAAATTAAGAGTAGTATGCACAGCTTCTCTAGCTTCTACTGTTAGGACACAGTTGATTTGGACTGCGTCGCCCAGCAGATGTAGTCTTATCCTGGATTCCTTTGAGAGATCATTTGCGAGATGGGGATCTGGGAATCCATTAAGAAAATTAAATGGATAATCATTTTAAAAACGTACTGAACAAGCTTAGTTAAAATTTGTATTCGCATCCAATTGAATTTCCTTTGTACGATTATGAGCTTAACATTTCTGTGATTAGCCGTGCCGGAGACGGGCAGTGTTACAACAACAGCGATAAGGAATAAAATATTCCAGCATCTTATCTTTACTAGCAAGATACCAAGAAAATCAGTTAATTTAGTTTTATACTTGATGTAAGAACACAACAGTGATACACACTGGTCTGCTCAGTCAGTGTGATTAACGATGAAAGAGGGACAAAACAGAGGAGCGGAACAGGCAGTACAACACGTGGTGCTCTTAAAAGAAAAAGTGAATAAAATAAATGATGGCACATAACGAGAGCCCAGAGTAAGTCCATTAGCAAGGTACAGAGGAGGAGTTGGTAAAAGAAAAAAAATGTGACTGAAAACTGGTAGATTTTCTCTCTCTGTGTGTGTGTATGTGTGTGTGTGTGTGTGTGTGTACGCGCAATGGCATACATCTGTTTTTTTTCTCACCTAACTATTTTCTAACTGATTAATTTTCTAATGACAGAATGTAATAAATATTCAGTGGAAATATGAGCTGTGGGTAAAATCAAGTGAAAAGTAACCTTTTAAATTACTGGCATTTTTTTCTTCTTTTAAAAACTGTGTAATAGATTTCCAATCAAAAACAAAGAGAATACGTTTTAGCACCGTATAAACCGTATATTTTCCGAGTGTACTTTTTACAACCTAAAAAATAAGATCAGCAATGACAGCAGTAGGTAAGAGTTGGTAATCCCAATTAAAATACAAGTCTGTAAGACCTTAGGAAAGGGACACTGAGTGTTGTTGTCAACCCAGAGCCTATTACAGAGCTGTGGTGTCCTGACAGTCCCGCTGTCTCTGTCTCTGCATCCAGCTTGGCCTCAGGCGGCAGTCATCAAGAATGGGTCAGCGGGCCTCGGGCTAAATATCACCAACATATTGAGAGAAAGAAGGTCAGTTTTTGTAGGAAGTGGGCAGACACAAAACAGAATAAAAAAAAGAAAAAGCAGTAAATCTGTTCTAAAATGTGTAAGCAGAGCAGCAATGCCAAAATTCTGAAAAGTGCACAAATTCTCTGCGATTTGTATGCACTTTAGCTGCTCCAATTTCATACCAACTAGAGGCGGTCGATCGATTTCTGGGGCTGTCCAGCAAATAAAGAGTTACTCTGATCTAATCAGCTGGAGACAAATGTAGCGTTTGTGTGTCTGGTCACAAATGGAGCAATCAAATCTTCGCTTGTATTCCTGAGCTGACAAAGAACACCCTTTGTTACTTTGCTAAAAGGGGTTGGTGAAATTTTAATCCGAGCCAAGGATTTCTTGGCTCTTGTCGTCATTCCAGACCCAGCTGGACCGAATGTACGTATGTCTCAGATAGTGTGTGTAATTTAGGAGCACAGTCTCTCTGCCAGATATCATGTTGTCATTTATCAGCCCTGAAATTATATTCAGCTTGAATAAATTTGGTAATTACATTTCCTCTGTTTGTTATCTGATGTTCTGCTGCAATAAGTCGTTTGACATGATGATGTATTAATAAGAGTTGTGCCTACAGCGCCTCAGTGTTTCTAAAAGAAAGCACATTAACGACAGGCCGTTTAAGTATGGAGACAAACGTCTCTGTCAAAGCCGATTTTTCATACTTGAACCAGCTCCTGATAGCTTCTCCCTCTTAACCTCGTCTGTTCCTGGACTCCAGCCACATGAAGGTGTATGTTTCTGCACCACAGGGACGCAGCGGCCAGGGCTCCATCTTCGTCTGGGCTTCGGGTAATGGTGGCCGGGAGCAAGACAGCTGTAACTGTGACGGCTACACGAACAGCATTTACACCCTGTCCATCAGCAGCACCACGCAGTCCGGCAACGTGCCGTGGTACAGCGAGCCCTGCTCCTCCACCCTCGCTACCACCTTCAGCTCTGGAAACCCGGGGGAGAAGCAGATAGTAGGTGTTCACACACACACGCTCACGCTCACATGCACTTTAAAGATCTCAGATTTTGTGTAGGATTGTTTTTAATACTTTGAATCTTTGGCACCTTGTAAATGTCAAGTTTGAAAGCACAGCTACACGTCCCGCTTACCAAAAGTTCATGCCGACGCATCCAAATTGAACCCGTTTTGAGTGTTTATACACATTAATGTTGTGTCTCTCAAATAGAAAAAAAAAAGACTTCAAAATGTCAAAGTCTGAGTGATGTGAAACATACAATGAGCAAACCTGACAAACACTGAGAGATGCCATGATTCCCTCGAGCTGCTTGTCACCCAAAGAAAGACTTGCTTCAGGGACGCAGAATAACATAAAACAACCATAAAACTGCCATTTCCTCCAAATTACACCAGAGGCGTGCTGCAGGCAAGTAAACACAACGCCAAATGAAATGGGTAGAAGTGAAGTCATTTTAAAATATACATGAGCACTTGCGTTGTACTGTTGCTTTAGCACGCAGACGCTGCCATTTGGTGCAGTACCCAGTGAGTTTATGCAATTTCCGTTTGTCCCAAACTAGTATTTATTTTCACTCTGTTTGATTTCTGTTTCTCACAATCTAACATGCACTACCAAGTGGCTCATTTTGTGAGCGTATTTGGTCACCTCCATCTCCAGAGATTACACATTTTTTTTCCCAACTGGAGCGAGAGAAAAGCAAAACATAAATTCCCGTTTTTCTAACTAAAATGGCAGCGACGGCACTCGGCTGTAATTAACTTCATCTGTTGTGCACACCTAGATGGAATAAAATGTGGCTGTTTGCCAAAAATAAACACATTACCGCCGAGTGGCACAAAACACAAAGTTCACTAATTGGCCTTCATGGCACAGTGTGCTGTTGCTACAGAGAAAAAGTAAATACGCTATATTTTCACAAAAATAAGGCTTTCAAATAATTAAGTGGCACAATTAAAGCACTGATTGTTATTTTAATAAAGGTTAATAATGTTTTCTTATTTTGAAATGTTATGAATAATATGTGCACAGGTTAAACTGTAGCCAGAGCTACAACTAGTATGTATTTATTGTAAATGTAGATGTTTTTTTTCCAGTTCACTCAATGAATTGTTGCATATTCTTCCTCATATATTCCTGATATTTGTTGTCGTCTCTCTTACCTGTGTTATGATGCTCTGTCATGTCAGGTGGATTCTGAAGTGGTTGCTATGACTAAGTACCGTAATTCCCGGACTACAGAGCGCACCTGATTAAAAGCCGCATGCTCTAATTTTAGAAAGAAAATCTATTTTGTACTTGTACAGGCTGCACCGGATTTTAAACCGTATGCTTTTCACTTGTAATATGAGATATTTACACAGAAATATCACACGTGAGGATTTTTAACGTTTAATTTAATCCGTAAGGTAACATAAACATGGTAACTTAAACGTTATGGTAACTGCAAATGCTTTTTTTTCCTCAAACAGCGCCTGTAACACGGCTACCTTTAGGTATACGTATGTATCGGTAACACACAAATTACATTGCTTATGGTTTTTTTACAGAACAGTTCACAAACAACATTACGTCGTCTCTTAACAACTGGTAAAAATATATACCGTATATATACTACTTATCAATGTTATTGGTCTACTGTTACCAGGCAAAATGTTTTTGGCCGCATGAAAAAAAATATGCATTAGCCGCCCGTCAGTATAAGCCGCAGTGTTCACAGTGTGGGGAAAAAAGTAGCGGCTTATGACCCGAAAACTACGGTAGACCTGAAATGGCGATCTGTCGTGTACTCAGATGGTGCTTTAATTTGGTTTGCTTTCTTCTGTTGTTGCCTCTTTTGCTGTGTTCTTTTAGTTCTGATCCCTTTGGCAACTTTTGTGCCAGTTTTAGTCACACTCCACCAGATTGTGCAAACAGAAGCTGCTTCTTGACATTTGTCAGTGTTGATGTGGCGTGCCTTCATGTCACACTTTCATATGTCCTTGAACCTCGAGTCCAGGTGCCCCGTGGGCCTGGCACCATGGGGATTCTGCCATCATCTATGTCTCATATGGCCAAACCGGCACATGTGGCATTGCATAAGCAGCTTTTGCATGCTGGGAGTTTGAGTTTTGTAGGGCTCTAGTTTGAGATATTTTGTCCTTCTATGTGATTCCAAGGCTTAGACGACTTAGACGAAAGCTGCTCTTGCTTCGTGATGGGACTATGTCCTCCAAGTAGTCACTGCAGTACAACAGGTGCTCTGTAGGCAGAGATTTTTGTTGCTAGAATTAGCTTTGGTTTCCACACTGAGTTTTATCCACATCCTGACCCATGACCGTGGTGTTTTTGATGCTTAAAGTAAGACCAAATTCATTTCAGGCATGTGAAAACCTATTAAGAACCTCAGAACCGACAGCATGAGTAACTATTCCAAAGTCACGAGCAAACATCAGCTCATAGATCTGCTGCTCTGACTTGCTCTGACTTTTGTCTTGGCTGGTAATATTGCCAAGTTGAACAGTTTGCCATCAGATCTGGTGTGCAGGAAAACAACATCTTGTGAGTGTCAGAAGGAATTTTGTAGCAGCGAGAAGAAGATCCCAAACATCGCGAATGCTCAGATACTTTCAGGAGCGTTTCCACTTGCAAGGCAGCTGATGCCCTTTTCCAGCTCGTTCAGTGTTGGTTCTGCATCTCACTTTTCCAGTTAGCTGAGGAACAGTGTTTAGTGCAATTTCTGTGACTTTGTTCTCTGTGCCATATATTTCAACATAGCATTCCACCAATCTCTCCATCTGTTTATCTCCACCAGTGATAAACTCGCCAGCTTTGGACTTGAGAGGAGCTTTTTTGGAATCTGTTGGACCCGTTCCTTTCTTCATTCCTTCAAGCGTACCTCTGATGTTTCCAGTATCAGTACCTTGTGTGCATTTCACAGCAAAGCTGCACCTGGTATTTATTAGCACAGCATCTAGTTTAGGGCTGCCACGATTAGTCAACTAGTCACGATTA